TGCCGGTTATGCGCATGCGTGCAGGAATGTGTGATCACGCACATGCATGCACATGCACGCACACGTGCACATGCACGGCAAAGATTGGCGCCAGACGGGCTATTTAAAGAGGGTCTCTGCTCTGGTTCAGTGCTGACTGGTCTTCAGCTCCCCCCTGTGTCCTGCTTACTCCTGTACGATTCCTTTGGTGCTGACCCAGCTTGTTGCTAACCCAACTCCGATTACTCTCCTGCTCCTGGTTCCTGACTTCAGCTCTGCTCCTGACTTTGGCTTTTCCTACTGATTCTGTACCACGCTGCCCGACTGTGGATGACCCTGGCTATTCCTATGTGTCCTGGCTACCTACATTGCTCTGCTGCACATCGGGCATTACCCAGAACCTGCTCTGTCTGTTACTATGGTACCCAAATCAGAGGATACTCTACCTACCAAGGTCATCATTTGCAAGAGCCGCAAGCAACAACCACTGGCGCTCTTGTCCCCCTGGTCCCTAGACTCCCTCTGTTCAAACCTCAGCGGGGTCAGGGCTAGTGACACAAGTGAGGCCAACCTCGTCAATTCAGTCTCCTATCAGGTACGTGACAGTACCAGTCAGCCAGGGATGGAGTCTGAAAGGGAGGCCTCACAACTGGGGGACATTCGCCAAGCAGTATCTACCCTGTTCAACATGATACATGAGTTACAGAAAAACTTTGAACACCTGGAGAGTAAACTGCGAACCAACTCTAATGTCCTCCTAGACACAGACCTCATGACTACCTTTGATGCGGTCACAGAGACCAGTATGACCATTGAAGCCTTTGCTCTGCCGGAACCCAGGGCGCCTACGCCTGTGTTCTTTACAGGGGACCGCAGGAAGTTCAGGACTTTTCGTAACTCCTGTGAGTTATATTTTGCCCTGCTCCCCAGGAGCTTCTTGTCATCTAACACTAAAGTGGGATTTATTATCACACTCCTCTGAAATGAACCCCAGTCCTGGGCCTACCATCTCCGGGAGTTACATGATCCGGCCTTACCCTTTGTGGATTTATTCTTTACATCGATGGCACAAATCTATGATGATCCCTTCCGGCGCCAAACTGCTGAAACAATGCTCAAAAAGCTACAGCAAGGCCAGAGACCTGTGGAAGACTATTTCACTGATTTTCGCATCTGGAGTCCTGATACCCAGTGGAACGAGTCTGCCCTCTGCCATCAGTTTCGTCTTGGTCTTTCCGAGAACCTGAAGGACGAGCTGGCCCAAGTGGGGGTGCCAACCAGGTTGGAGAGTCTGATAGACCTAGCGATTCAGATCAACCGTCGGAGTCGGGAAAGGCAGAGTGAGAGGATTAACTGGAAGATTTTGATATGCTCTGAAATAGGGCCCTCTACAAATGTGACATCATCAGCATTGCCCACCAACCCAACTAGGAGAAGTTTCTGGAGACCGCAGTTATCCGCAGCGGAATGCCTTCGCCGGCAGTGGTCCAACCTCTGCCTTTACTGCGGAGATGCAGGTCATTTCGTGGCCACCTGCCCGGCCAAATCTCATAAGTCCTCTCCCAACTGTTTCTACATGATGCACCCTCAAGGGGCAAGTCGGGCGCATCTCTCTTTTCATCTGCAGATACAGCTGGCCGAAAGGACAATCTCGGTCCCAGCCATCATAGACTCAGGTGCCTGTAGCTGCTTTATGGATGTTCGTTTCGCTACGCAAAACCAGATTCCACTCTGTACCAAGGCACAGAGACTTGCAGTTCATCTGGCAGACAAACCTTGTCACACAAATAAAAGAAGCCGTGAATAGTCATCCACTTCCCATGAATTTGCACCTGCAACTAAGGGACGGTCTGTATCTCCAAAAGGAACAGATCTTTGTACCCGAAGAACTCCGGACTCTTATTCTCCAGAGATGTCATGACCATCCATTAGTAGGTCATTTTGGGATTCACAAGATTTCTGAGTTGGTTTCCCACTTTTTCTGGTGGCCAAACACAGTAAAAGATTGCCAGGACTATGTGAGATCTTGCACAGTCTGCCTGAGAAATAAATCTGATAAAGCCAAGACATGGGGCCTGTTGGAATCCTTGCCCGTACCGGAAAAACCTTCGAGCATGATCTCCATGGATTTTATCGTCGAACTTCCACCATCTGAAGGATTCCCCATTATCTTCGTAGTGATCGATCGCCTGTCCAAGATGGCTTACTTTATCCCCCTGAAAGGGACTCCGTCTGCCACAGATACTGCCTCCGTTTTCATCAAGGAAATTATAGGATTACATGGCGTTCCCCCTGAATATTGTGTCTGATCGGGGAGTGCAGTTTACATCCAAATTCTGGAGAGCTCTGTGTGAGGCATTAGAGATCGGGTTACGCTTCTCATCTGCTTACCACCCATAAACAAATGGACAGACAGAAAGGACAAACCAAACTCTGGAGCAATACCTCCGATGCTTCTCCTCATACTCTCAAGATGACTGGGCATTGCTCCTTCCAGTAACGGAATTCTTCTATAATAATTCCATTCATTCCGCTACCAAGCAATCTCCTTTCTTCGCTAACTACAGATATCATCCTACCTTTCTCCCAGAAATACTGGTGGAGGCCGCTGTCCCGGCAGTACAAGAAAGGATGGAGTTCTTCAGGAGGAACGGCAAAATTTTACAAAGAACAATCTCTGAAGCTCAGACGAGCAACAAAAAATTTTTTGGTAGAAAGAGAAGGGGTAACTTGGAACTGAAGCAAGGGGATAGAGTTTGGCTGTCCACGGCCAATCTGAAATTAAGTTGTCCATCAAGGAAGCTTGGTCCAAGATATCTGTTTTCTGTGGCCCAACATGCCCCCCCCCCAACACTGCTCTTCACAACAGCGCAGGTCAGGGAATGTGAATGCTGTTGATTGTAGCAGTATGCAGAAATGGTCTAGGAAGACTACAGACAACTAGGAAATAGGAGTCAAACAAGGTACTAGACAGAGAATACGAGGACAGGATCTTGGATTCACACAATTTCCACAATTTTAGGAGCTTCTTTCTTATGCTGTGTGTCATAGTAGACCAACATGCAAAAATGTCACTGTGACAGACCCAACTGGGACAGTGGCTTTTGGATGGGATTATGGGCTAGGCTTCTACCCACTGATTATGGCCCATGGAGGAGACAAGGGATTTTCAGAGCAGGAAAGAGAGTCAGGTCCTGAAACCCTTTGCCTAACCGGGAGTATCTACCTCCTTTACAAGCTTAACAGTAAGTAAAATAAAACACCATAAGCAAAGAGAGTAGTTTTATTGTTGATATTTTTCTTGTACTTACCTTCCAAGTTCCATTGATATATAAAACTTCCCCTATCTGGTATTCTGCAGCACCAGAATCCGAAGAGAGGGCGGTAGGACTCTTTCTTTCTCACTTCTCAATCTCAGGTCTGATTACCATGAGGATATAAACTGGCATTCTAGAGATGATAGATTTTCTTTAAGACAAAGGGGCCTATGAGGTGCTAATTGTTACATTATTTTGCATTTTTTATACACTAAATATATTTTTACTGTTTTTAATTAAGGGATTTGTTGACATTGATGGGTCCACGACTGAAGGGAGCTTCTTTTTCCCATTCAAACAGCACTAATTACAAAGCCAACTGGTCATAATTATATTTATTACAATATATTATTGTTGCAATCACGAGCCAGAAAATTTGCAACGCTGAGCACATTTTCTCACAATCTGCTTCTTTTTTCTTAATATTCTAACTTCTGTCATTAAATATCTAGATAAGAAAGCATGAGGCAGTTAATTGCAGTCTAATGGAACTGGCGAGTTGCCATCTGCAGAAGAAGAGATAAAATCTAGGGGAAGACTGCATAATTAAGATGTTATTTATTACTGCATGCCATCTATGTCCCGCATCTCCTTCCCTCGTTGCAGATTCCATGCACCAGCAGCAAGCGGCCGGGCGTAAACTGATACAGCACACAGAGCTGCTGTATGTTACTGCCATCAAAGGATGACATATGAGACAAGATACTGACTAGGTATATGTTTTCTCATTTTGATAACCAATAAATATTAAATCACTCCATATATATATATATATATATATATATATATATATATATATATATATACATTTGTGCACAAAAGTTTGCATACTCTTGGAGAATCAGTAATATAAAGTATGTACCATAAAGAAAACATGAGTGAGCAGGCAACACACATTTCTTTCATTTCTTATGGGATTCATATTCACCTGTAGGAACAATTGGAAAACAAAACATGGCAACAGATTGTAGCACTACCGTCTTAAGGGTTGCTTAGTAATCTATAATTTCTATAATCAATAAGCTAAGTATACTTAGGTTTATATGTATGTATATGAATATATATATATATATATATATATATATATAAATATATACCGTATTTTCCGGCGTATAAGACGACTTTTTTTACTTAAAAACATACCCCAACAATTGGGAGTCGTCTTATACGCCGGGTATAGGATCGCTGGATGTGCGGTAATACTGTACGGTAGCTTCAGCTACATACAGTGTACCGCGCTGAGCCAATCACGGCGAGCGATGTATTCTATTAATGAATACAGAGCCTGCTCAGATTGGCTGAAGTTGTGACATCATCAGCCCGCCTCTCTGATGCAGCCAATCCGAGCAGGCTCTGTATTCATTAATAGAATACATCACTTGCCGTGATTGGCTCATATGACGTCCTCCCATTCTCCACGCATGCGTGGCGATGCGCTGTGTCCCTCGGACACAGCGGATCACCGATCACGGAAAGAACTGAAGATGTCGGCTCGGTCATGTGATCAGCTGTGTCCAATCACAGCTGTTCACATGTAAACAGGGAAATGCCGGTTATCGGCATTTCTCTCCTCTCGAGCTGTCACGCTGACAGCTCGAGAGGAGAGCCGGTAATCGGCTTTCCGCGGAGGGGACATGTACACTGATCATCAGGGCACTGATGATCAGTGTGCCCCGATGATCAGTGTAGCCCTAGCAGTGCCAGCTGTCAGTGTCCATCAGTGCCACATCAATGCCACATATCAGTGCCTACCAGTGCACATCAATGCCACATATCAGTGCCCATCTGAGCTGCCTTTCAGTGTCACCCATCAGTGCCAGTCAGTGCCACCTATCAATGCCAATCAGTGCCACCTATCAGTGCTGCCAATCAGTGCCGCCTATCAGTGCTGCCTTTCATTGCCCACCAGTGATGCCTGTCAATGCCCATCAGTGCCACCTATCAGTGCTGCCAATCAGTGCCACCTATCAGTGCCAGTCAGTGCCGCCCATCAGTGCCGCCTATCAGTGCCAGTCAGTGCCGCCTATCAGTGCGCATCAGTGCTGCCTATTAGTGCCACCTATCAGTGCCAGTCAGTGCCACCTAACTGTACCAGTCAGTGCCACCTAACAGTGCCAGTCAGTGCTGCCTATCAGTGCCGCCTATCAGTTCCATATATCAGTGTCATGTATCAGTGCTGCCTTTCAGTGCCCTTCAGGGATGCCTGTCAATGCCCATCAGTGCCACCTACCAGTGCCTCCTCATCAGTGCCCATCAGTGCCACCTATTTCATATGGGTACAGTGTTACAGGACCGCGTAATTGTCATTCAAAGTGTGACAGCACTGAAAGTTGAAAATTGGCCTGGGGGGGAAGTGGGTATAAGTGCCCTGTAGGCTAGGGGTTAAATGTTGTTGCCTCAGAAGGGGGGTAGTCTTATATGACGAGTATAGCCCAAAACCTATGTTTTAACTGGAAAATTAGGGGGTCGTCTTATACACCCAGTTGCCTTATACGCCGGAAAATACAGTGTATATAGATATATATATATATATTACTCAAAAAAAATTAAAGAAACACTTTGAAATCACATCAGATCTCAATGGGGAAAAATAAAATATCATGCTGGATATCTAAACTGATATGGACTGGGTAATGTGTTAGAACCATGAGGATGCCCCATCGTTTGATAGAAATGAAAATTATCAACTTATAGAGGACTGAATTCAAAGCCACTCCAAAAATCAAAGTGAAAAAATGATTCACCAGGCTAGTCCAATTTGCTGAAATGTCATTACAGCAACTCAAAATGGTACTCAGTAGTTTGTATGGCTCCCAGATGCTTTTATGCATGCCTGACAATGTGAAAATGGGTCCAAGGATTTCTTCCTGATACCTGATGGCAATCAGGGTGCCATTGTCTAGCCTGCAGAGGTCTGTGTGTCCCTCCATGGATATGCCTCCCCAGACCATCACTGACCCACCACCAAAACGGTCATGCTGAATGATGTTACAGGCAGCATTCTCCACAGCTTCTCCAGACCCTTTCATATCTGTCACATGTGCTCAGGGTGAACCTGCTCTCATCTGTGAAAAGCACAGGGCACCAGTGGCAGACCTGCCAATCCTAGTGTTCAATGGCAAATGCCAATCGAGCTCTATGGTGCCGGGCAGTGAGCACAGAGCCCACTAGAGGACATTGGGCCCTCAGGCCACCCTCATGAAGTCTGTTTCTGATTGTTTGGTCAGAGACATTCACACCAGTGGCCTTCTAGAGGTCATTTGTAGGGCTCTGGCAGTATTCATTTTGTTCCCCCTTGCACAAAGGAGAAGATACCGTTCCTCCTGATGGGTTAAGGACATTCTACAGCCCTGTCCAGCTCTCCTAGAGTAACTGCCTGTCTCCTGGAATCTTCTCCATGCTCTTGAGACTGTGATGGGAGACATAGCAAACCTTCTGGCAATGGCACGTACTGATGTGCCAACCTGGAAGAGTTGGACTGCCTATGCAAACTCAGTAGGGTCCCGGTATCACCTCGTGCTACCAGTAGTGACACTGACCCTAGCCAAATGCAAAACTAGTGAAAAACAGTTAGAAAAGATGAGTAAGGAAAAAATGTCAGTGGCCTCCACCTATAAAACCATTCCTGTTTTGGGGGTCTTCTCATTGTTGCCCATCAACTGCACCTGTTGTTAATTTCATTAACACCAAGGCAGCTGAAACCCCATCGTCTACTTAACTGACCAGATCAATATCCAAGGATTTTAATTGACCTGATGCTATGCTCTGATTAAATAATGTTCCTTTAATTTTTTTTGAGCAGTATATATATATATATATATATATTATTATACAGTATTTATAAAGCGCCAATGGTTCGCTCAGCGCTGTACATTACAAAGGGGGACAGAACATGTGACAGAACAATATCAATACAATGCAAAACATGAGGGGATCGAGGGCCCTGCTCTTTCGAGTTTACAATCTAGGAGGGAGGGGATAGTGGTACAGGAGGAGATAGCTGTGGGGGATGGAGTGGTAATGGTAGTGGTATATAAATATATATATTGTCTTTCTGTCCTCTATGTGCACATTTAAGATACAGGTATATAATAAATCAGGAATAACAGATCTACCCTCTAAGACATTTATACAGTTTTTACAGTCTAATTTGTTATAGGTAAATATTAATATTTCCCTATAACAAATTAGTTACTTCAGGAAACTAAAAATAGTAAAAACGTATCTGAGAGTCACACTCAGTGACAAAACGGTGGTAATACAAAAACAAACACTGGGTGAAGTATGAGACAAATTCACCAATTGAAAGAAGGTAATGCCTACCAGGCTACCTTCTGGGCCGGTATATTCAAATTTTATGAATCTATTGTGTGCCAATAGATAAAAGAGAAAGTCAGGTAGACAGGAGGGATCACAGCCACCAGATATAACCATTGAAGAGACTATATATCTCACCAAACTTAGGGCACACAATTCCAGCCTGTCTAGATGCCATTTTGTGAGAGCTTAACTCCACCCATCAATCGACAGCCATCTTTGGTTTACCTGATACTCCTCAGGATAACATAACTACCAACATGATTATATTTTAGTTTTAGTGTTAATATTATTTTTTTTTTTTGTTGTTCTTGGACCATATTGGCATACAGTTTTGTTTAGTTTGACGTTTATTCCTTCTTCAGGGGAATAACCATTGAAATTTCATAAAACACAGACTATTGTCTGATAGGTAGTTATCATTGGTTATTTTGTCTATGGGGAGAAATGTATTATCAAACTTCCTTATCCTATCTATATATCTACTAAAATCATTATTAGCAGATAAAAACAAAGCAAATTTTACAAAATTCCTGCTGAATATAAAAGTTTACCCTGTATTAAGTTAATAAAAAACAAATATGTGTACATTTTAAATGGCACCATTTTGTGAATTGGTAAAAATCACACATACGCAAAAATGTAAATATCCAAATTTCTCTAAAAATCTGGAGAAACTGATTTTAAAGGCTACTGATTTTAAAGCTCCACAATATTTGCGCAAAAGTTTATCAAAGCAATATTTTTGCTGAAAATACACTAAAATCATTATTAGCAGATTTTAAAAAAGCTAATTTTACAAAATTCCTGCTAAATTCCAACTAAATATAAAAGTTAAAACTGTATTGAGTTTAAAAATAACAAATATTTGTAAATTTTAAATTGCACCTTTTTGTGAAATAGGGAAAAAGGAAGTTATGCAGAATTGTAAAAAAAGACAATTTACTAAAAAAAATTTGGAGATTATCATTTTTCAAGTACAACTTTCAGAATTTGTAAAGACCCCCCAGACCAAATATTTTCTGAAAGAACATAACCTATGGAATAAAAAAAATTTGTTCTTGATTTTTTAGGCCCCGCAATAGTTCAATAAATCGCTATTTTCAATTAAAATACACTAAAATCATTAGTGGATACATACATGACAAAATTTACTAAATTCCTGCTAAATTCCTACTAAATATAAAAGCTAAAACTATATTGAGTTAATAAATAACAAATATTTGTGAATTTTGACTTGCGCCTTTTTATAAAATGATAAAAAAGGAATGTGTGCAAACCTGCAATTAAAAACAATTTAGTCTCAAAATCTGGAGTTTGACATTTTTTCACTTACAGATTTCAGAATTTGAAAGGACTCCTCAAACCATACATTTTTTTAACCTACAGTTTTTTTTAGGTCCCACAGTAGTTGTGCAAATGTTCATCAAATCACAATTTTCACTAAAAATAAACTAAAATCATTATTAGTGCACACAAACATAACGTAAATTTGTAAAATTCTGACTAAATTGCTACTAAGGCCTTATTCACACGAGTGTACTAAAATGTATGCCCGTGGAGGGCAGTGTTTACCCACATGGAGATGCCCAGGTGTTCAGTGCATCCCTGTGCAGGCAGTCCCATTTATGTCAATTGGGATGCAGTGGCAGCATGGGCATAGCCACTGTTCCCAATCTGACATCAGTGGGGGTACACGACCCCGAATGCAGACAGTGTGAGCTCAGGGACATGCACCTGGACCCACATGGATGTCAAATTGGGAGCAACGGCTGTGTTCATGCAGTTGCTACATCCCAAATGATGTCAATGGGACTGCCTGCACAGCGATACACAGAACACCTGTGCATCCCTGTGCGGGTAAACACGGCCTTGCAGGGCTTACGCTGTGTCTATGTGGTTTTTTAATTATTATTATTATTATTTTTTTACAATTGTATATTTTCATATTTTGTACTTTTTTTGGGGGGGGGGGGGGGGTTGGTCTAAACAGATCCCAATGTCTCTTTTTTGAGACGGAGAAAGGGACTGAAGACACATTACACAAGTGAATGAGAAGTCGGCATCAAGCCTCCTTTTCATTCATAAACTAACCCATAGTAAGTCCCCCTCCCCCCTGCTCTCCATCCTGACAGCTTCTCCGAGTGCCAGCGCAGCAGCTGCAAGCGGCAGGAGGGAACACCACCCAGCAGCCAGCCAGGATTGGTAAGTCGGAGGCCATTAATGGGGGTCAGCATGGCGGGGGGAGTTCAGAGTGGTGGGAGGACACTTCCAAGTCCCTGCAACATGGAGTTGGAAATAGAGATGGGCCTTTGACACATACTACATACACAGCATCTTCAATTAATTGTTCCTATGTATTAAATACCAGCTATCAATGAATCAAAGGACTAATAATAATCCTTAATAATAATCCTTGCAGGGTACTCTGCAGTAATTTGTCCATATTGAAGTTCCGTCACATAGTCCAACACATGTATGTCAAATGTATGGCTATTGTTGGTAAGGTGAAATTACGCTTCAAACATTATTCATTGTGAATGCATTAGTTTCAATTGTGTACCCAGATAGTTATTGTTTGTCAGAAATCAAAGTCTCCAATATGAACTTCAGTTGCCTCTGGACACAAGCATTATATAGCTACATATCATAACAACATAATTTTTAAATTAATTGTTTTAATTTTATATTAATAGTAATGTCCGCATATACAGTGCTCAGCATAAATGAGTACACTCCTTTTGAAAAGTAAGATTTTAATCAATATCTCAATGAACACAAGAACAATTTCCAAAATTTTGACAAAACTGTGTTTCTA